TAATAATATATAATTATATATATAATATATATATATACAATATTAATAGTAAATAATTATATATATTAATATAAATATATAAATATATATGAAAAGACAATAGATGATGTATTATCTTTTCATCGAAATTTTAAGATATTCAAAATTAGTCAATAATATATAAAGAATATTTAAAAATTTATTAACCAGCATTTTTCTCATAAATTAAGTAAAAAATCATATAGTTTTGAATATCATGATCATACATATAAATAAATTTGTTTTGACATATAGTTTCATATGCGCATTTAAAAAATTAAAAATCATTTTCATTTCTCAAAAAATATTGAAAATATAAAAAAATTGATATGCATCATTACAGCTTAAAAAACAAAAAAAACTTTTTTTTTTAACATTTTTTTCTATTTATCTTTTACGAAAATAATGCTGGTAAATCTTTGAACACCTGTATATAATAAATTCATATAATAAATACATATATAATAAATTCAATATTTAATAAATATTATGAATCTAATATATCGCTATTAATTACTGCAAATCATTGACATAACTTAAAATAATATTATTCATCTAGAATTATTTGAATACTGAAAAACTAATTAAAAATTTAAAATATTAAATGTCCAAGAGGACTTTTGCACATAGATAAAAAGAAATTAATTATTAATTAATATCTGAATTAGATCCAATTTTTATAGAATTGTTCAACTATTTAAATGATTATTTTTTTATTTTACTTACCCAGTACGCTCGGCAGATGGACCAAGCACGGTAGTATTATGGATTATCTAGAATCAAATAATTATGTGTTCTTAATTAATATAGGATATTTATAAAATATCTTTATCTTAGAATATCTTCAAGATTGAGATCTATCTAGAAATCAAGACAAAAATTAGTATGCAAAAATGTCGATTAAAGCTTTATTAAGTTATAAACAATTTAAATTTATAAAATAATATAGAAATAGATTAAACAACGACAGAGATGAAAAAATCTTATAAGATATCTCACAAATATATTAATTTTGTGTATAATATATATACTATATTATGAATAATGATGAAATTTGGAATACTTTTAATTACTTCAAATGCATATTATACATCAAGTTGTAAATTCTAATTTCTTAATTTTTATTTTTGTTCTTAAGTCTAAAAATTTTTGAAAGTTTTAAAAATCCTGAAAATCTTAAAATTTTTTGATTTTTTGATTTAAAATTCTTAAGAGTTATTTATCTCTTACAATTATATATTTTTCAATATTAGTTACTTGAGTCAGAATTATATAATTTCCATTTTAGATATTGATTAATTAATAATCAAAAACGAATAAAACTGAAAAGTAAATAATAAAAATGAGACAAAACTTTCAAAAATTTCGAATTTTTCAAGATTCATACAAAATATTTTTAGAAATTTTGAGAGTTCAAATTATATTCGAAATGATTCGAATTTTCTGCCATTTTACAAATTTAAAATAATTCGAATCATTCCAAATTCTATTTTTAATTATAAACAGTATTATTATATTAAAATATTAAAAAATGCATTTATAAAAGTTTTTCAGATATTTAATTAATTTAAAAAAAATGAAGTTATACACATTAATAATTAAAAATATAATACTTTATCTTTTAATATTTGAAATGAATACTATTTGTTTAAAAAATTTAATATCGATTAAAAAATTAATTAAAATCCACTTGAACAACTAATGAATAACAAATGAATAATAATGAACAATAAATGAATAACATTTATAAATGTATTATAAATAATATTTTTTACTTATGGAATACTTTATTTATGGAATTTATTTCAATTATTAAAAGATAGAATATTGTAATTTTCAATCATTATTTTTTTAAAACAAATTGATCATTTGAAAAAATCTATTTATTAATATTTTGTATTAAAGCCATTGACAAATTATACTTATAAAAATATTATTAAATAAAATATTATAATTTATCTAAGGTTACTTAAATTAATTTAAATACTAATCTTAATAAATTAATATAAAATATTTAATTTATATGTATCCGTATTTAATGAAAAAAATATATATGTGTTTTTAACATTATATTTTATTATAAATTAAATTAAAGTATTATATGATATATCGCATTTGACGATTATCATTTTTTTATATCGTACTTACATTGGCCATGGAACAAGGCGGTCGTGCTGCAGCATATCTACCAAATGAAGTGCGTGAAATAGAGGAAGAGTAAGAAACATTCAAACTGAAACCAAGATAGAAATTATCAATCTGATTTTTTTCTAAAATAATAATAATTGTGTTGTATTAAAAATATTTTGAGAATCATAAAATTTATTATTTAATATAAGATATTAATTTAAAATATTCTTTACTTATATCATTATCATAATATATATAATATCTATAAATTTTCTAATTATATTAAGTATCATAAATAACAATCATTGTACCTAGAATTATTCTTTACAATGTTATTATGTATGGTATTCGATGCACCGATATCAATCGAATTTTTTGGGGGCAAGCTGTATCTATTAGTTCTTACATCTTGATGTTCTGTAAAATATAAAACAAATATTATTACATGAATAATATATACATAAATAAAATTATCCAAAAATCTAAAAATTTAATAAAATTTGAATTATTTTCATATTAAATAATAATCATAATTTCTTCCTTTTATGTACATAAAAATCTTTTCTATTCTATTTTGATTGTATATATATATATCATAATATATATCATAACTTTTCATGTTCCTTTGTTCCCTGTCGTATTTTAATAATTTTTATAATATAAATCTATTTTCAATAACATTTTTATTAATCTTTAATAATCTGATTTTTCCTTTAATAATTATAAATTAATTTTTACTAATAAAATAATTTAATAAAAATAATTTAATATTAATAAAATATTAATAAAAATATATATATATAAAAGTTAAAATAAAAATATTAGTAAAAGTTTATATAAAAATATATATAAAAGTTTAAATAAAAATATTAGTAAAAATAAAAGACAACAGGAATATCGTTTAATTCTAATAAAAATAACTAGAATATTAAATTATATATAAGTATTTTTTAGACTAAAATTTAAAATTCTTCAATAGAATAATATTACTATTACTATTATATGACTTAATATATTATTTATATTAAATATCACTTAATATTTTAATTTATAATTTATGATCATTTTCACTTAATTTAAAATCAATTTAATTTTATACTAGAAATTATGTCAAAAAAATTGGATCAATTCCATTATAACCAATAATTTTATTAAATCTCAATTCACCGTTTATCACTGAATCGATCACAGTTTTGATTCGATCAAAAGATTTATATAATAAGATCATTACATAAAATGACATTAATCGGGATTTTATATCTCTCTAAATAAGAATTATCGATTTAGGACACAGCTATTGAAGAACGAAATATAAAACGAATCCGACCTTCGTTATATTATTTCTTGAAATCAGATCGACAATGGATTCATAGACCGCTCTATAAATATTACTTTTATAGAAATGCTTTGAAGAAGTCTCATTAAATTTTTAAATTATTAAAAATTGTATTTACATTGTTTTGTACATGTAAATTAATATATTTAAGATTTTTGATAAAAAATAAACAATTTTATGAAAATATATAATTATAATTTATTTTTTTGTACATAAGAAATCTATTTTTTTCAGATAATAAATTTATTTAAATGATAATAATATATAATTTTTGCAATCTTTATAATAATAAAATAGAAATTATATCAAACTATCAATTTTTACATTTCTTTATTTGCATTAAATCACATGGGAAGTTCTATCAAATATAATATAATTATAATATAATATAAATATAATATAAATCTTATAATTATTATCTTATAATAATTAATTGAAATAGTATAAATTTTATTTTTATATTTTTATATTTTTATATTTATTATTATCTTCTATTCTATTTTATCTTTATTTTCTTGTAATCTATATTTAATCTATATTTAAATTTTTTGTAAATATACATGTATAATAATAAATGTAATATGAAAGTTATATCTTTTTTTTATCATTCTCTATGAAATCGCATATAATATAATAATTAGATAAAATTTATATAATAATTAGATAAAAACCGTGTAGATAACTCTTTCTTGTAGAAATTAAAATGCACAAAGAAAACAATCATTTACATATAGAGTAAAACTTATTATATAAAAGAAAAAGAATACACAAAATAATATTCTTTTGTTCCTACTTTCTCTATTTATTATAGGGTAAATTTTATAAAATTCAAGTTAAAATATCTCTTAATAAATTTTTATTATAAATGTTTAATAATTTTTTATAAGAAATAATTTATTGATTAATTTATTAAAAAATATATATTTTTATTTAAAAAAAATTTGATCTTTGTATATCTTCTAAATTTTATTTTTATTTGTAAAAAAATTAATAACATATCATATTATATTTTCTTTTATAGTATACAGACAATTTTCAAAAAATATCCAATCAATATAGATCTTTATAATTATATTTTTTCGATATAAAATTATTTTTATTATTAATGAAGATTTAATATCAAATGAGTTTCTTAATATATTGAATATACACAAAGGAATTGATCTAGGAATTGATAATATTAACTCAAGTAATTTAATAATTAAATATATAATATATAATATTATCATAATAACATTACTATTATATTATATTATATTATATTATATTATATTATATTATATTAAAAAAAATTATTTCATAGATGCGAACAAACTAAAAACCATTGTCAAGATCTTATATAAAATGTTTATATTTGAATAATAAGCAGATGTGAATGAACATTAAAAATTTGCACTTCATTTACGTCAAAAGAATTAATTGCAAAACATATTGATATATTGATTGGATTTCCTTTTAGTGACTATAAATCTTTAAAGTCTTGAATTTTTTTTAAAAAACTTTATGAAGTTAATGAAGTTTTAACAAAGAAAAATCATAGAATAGTATTAGAACTAATAAAAATTTCATTTTTTAACATTTTGAGGCATAAATATCTTTTGCTTCAATTCATATAATTAAAATTTTTAATTTTAATAAATTTAATAAATGTTTATATGTATATGTATATAGAATATAATGAATTATATATGAAATAATACATTTTTTATGTATTGAAATATTATTTTGTAATATTACTGAATACAATAATATTATTTTTATTTTTGAATAGGAAATCAATCCTTATAATTCAGCATTTTTTATATTTTATATTTTATATTTTATATTTTATTTTTTATATTTTTATTATTTTATATTTTTTTTTGTTTTATTTTGTATCATTATAAGATTATATTTAAAAAAAAATATAAAAATTAATTTATTTAAATTAATATTAAAATTATTTCATCTTCTATTTGATATTCATATATAGAATTTTTATATATTTAGTGCATATTTAATATATTTAAATACATAAAAACTTTTGAAAAATTAATTTTGGAAAAATCGATTTGGAAATAAAAGAAAAATTTTGTGTAAGAATTGAAATTTAGATTAGATAAAACAAAAATAAAATGAGATTATTCTCGTTCTATTTTGCATTATCTAATTCAAATTTAAATTACTTATATTTAATAACATTTTTGTATATTATCATTATTAATCATAATTACTTTAGCCTCTAGAATCGATATTCCAAAGATATCATATGAATATATATATATATATATATATATATATATATATATATATA